TACTCAGGATCAGAGGGATTCAAATAGATACAAATTGCATTAATAAGTTATCACTTTACAACCAGATTAGACAGAGTAAAGAGATGGAAAATGGGGGGCTGAGGCCATGGTTCAGTGGGTAACATGTTTGCTGTACAAGACTGAGGACATGAATTCAGACCTCCAGAACCCATATAAAAGCAAACTGTAACCCAAGCACTGGGGTGGGATGGAGTATGTCAAAGACCACAGTGTCCTGGCAGCTCCCAAGCCAGCTAGCCTAACTGATACTAGAAGCCTCAGGTTTGGTGAGAGACACTGTGTAAAAAATGTGTTGGAGATTGGCGAAGGCATGAAAGAATAAAAGTCTCGTCTCCACACGCACCCCACACAAGGGAGTGCAGTTGTATACCACACATACACGAACACACAAATAAATGGGAAACAGGTTCTCTCAAAGAGTAAAGAAAATGGAAATATTTCTTCTGGAAAACAATTAGGAATTACAGAGGCTCTACAGCTAAACATGCATTCAAAAAGTTGGGCAGGTGAGATGGCCCAGTAGTTAAAATTCCTGCTGCCAAGCCCAATGACCTTCTCTGGCCCCAATTAGTAATAGAGAATTGACTACACAGTTAAGCTCTAATCTCCATACAGAATTTACAATTTAGTTTATGTACACACATATACAAAGACTCTGCACACCCATGTTAGTTGCAGCACTGGCCATGAAAGCCAAGAGAGAAAAGCAACCTAAACGTCTACCAATAGATAAATTCATGAAAAGTATCAGGGATTCAGCACTGCAAAGGAAATCCTACCACATCCTATATGAATGAATTCTGGAGACATTAAGTTAAACAGAACAAGGTTCAAATGGTTAATACACTGTAATTAATTCTACACTTAAGAATACTTAAGATGGCAGATTTTGTTATATGCTTTCACTATGGTAATAAAAAAATTTCCTAACTGGAAACTGGAAACAGTCATTAGCAAGAAACAGGTAATATTTAAGCTACACTCTGGACTACAGGGAGCCATAAAAAGTAACAGTGATACTGTCACAGTCAACTATTGAGTTTTAAATAAAACAGTAGCATTTCATTAAAACAGGTCTTCCTGCTGAGATGCTGGAGCAATGGGTCAGTGGTTAAGAAAACTTGATGCTTTTGCTGAGAACCCAGGTTGGATTCCCAGCAGCTACATGGTTGCTCACAACCATTTGGAACTTTAGTTTCAGGAAATCCAATGCCTTCTTACAGGCATGTATGTGGCATACATACATACGTGCACTCATAACACATAGAATAAATAAATCTTTAAAAAATAAAACAAAACAAAAATAGTGTTTTTCTGCTGTGCATGGTGGTGAATGCCTTTATTCCCAGCACTCTGATGACACAGGAAACCAGCACTCCATGATTCATAAACATGTGAGAAGCAATGGTTTAGGGCTGAAAAAGAAAATCAAAGACCGAGATATGTATCTCAGTCTCAAACTGCCTTGACTAAGGGTTCAGACTTCAAAGTCTTATTGCACTTACTGAGGCCCCAGTTTCTTCAGGTTTTTTTTTTTTTTTTTTTTTTTTTTTTTTTTTTTTTTGAGGGGAGGGGAGGGTCAAGACAGGGTGTCTCTGTGACTTTGGATGCTGTCCTGGAACTCACTCTGTAGACCAGGTTGGCTTTGAACTCACAGAGATCCACCTGCCTTTGCCTCCCGAGTGTTGGGATTAAAGGTGTAAGCCACCACCTCCCAGCTTTTCTTCAGTTATTAAACAATACCAAGGCTGAGGATGTAACACAGTGATAGAGCACATAGGTAGCTAATGCAAGGCCCTCAGTCTATCTCCAGCACTCAAAAAAAAAAAAAAAAAAAAAAAAAAAAAAAAAAAAACCCAAAAACCTCAGAGCTGGGTTTTGGCAGCACCCATTTAGACATGTTAAAGTCTGCAAGGTAACAAACTGGGATGGTCTAGTCAAAGCAATCAACACATTCTAGGAATGCTCACAAAGTGTCAACTAAGGACAGACAGTCTCAGCCAGGTGTAGTGGTGCACATCTTTAATCCCAGCACCCTCTGAGGCAGACACAGGCAGGTCCTTGTGAGTTCAAGGCTAACCTGGTCTACAAAGCCAGTTCCAGAACAGCCAGGACTGTTACACAGAAAAAGCCTGTCTCAAAACCAAAAATCAAAAACAACAACAACAAAAAATCACATATGTGTCAAGGAAATATGTAAACACACTAAACCCATTTTTGGCTCAGACAAAATACTCAGTAATATGATTGTCATTATTACTACTAATTGACTTGATTTACTCTGGAAGAGGTATGGGGAATATAAACCAATTAAGCTTTTAGGGATCCTAATACTTAAACATCACTGGATATTCTAACTTCACGATGGGAATGAAGTAGCCCAACGGGGCTTTCTGCTTACCATGCCTGTTCTTCAGGAAGTGATGCGTTCATTAACACACATGCATGCACTCACACATGCAGAAGTATTACATTAAAAAGCAAAGACTTTTTTTTTCTTAACAAACAGAAAGTAAGACTGTGCTGGCTTTCTACAAGTTACTGATATATTTCTTCATCTAGGATTGCACTAGTTAGGTGTTTCATCTATGTGGAGTACAAACACCTCTTATCAGTACTGGACATAGACTTGGCAATACTTCTGTAAAAATAATGGAAATAGACAAACACGGTTTTTAAATCTAAAAGTAGAAAACAAAGAGAAAACCAAACCAACACACAAAACATGAGTATGAAGAGGATGGATTTAGGGAGATATTAAAAGACCAAGTAACATTAATTTTGTTTAATCTTTCTCTTCCTCACTCCTAAAAAACAAAACAAAACAAAACCTTTGTGTGCACTATTGAACCCTTTAAGTCTGGTATACTCACTACCTAGTCTCAGTGTTCAATAAATATTTACAAGAAAAGTTGTAAGGCTAAGTCTCCTTAAAAACCATGGAAGAGACTTTGAGTAGCTTCAGGCTTGAGGTGATCAATCTGGTATGCCTCATTTAATAAGCTTACTAGGTTGTGAATTCTGAAGGCTTTTTTGATGATGCCTTTTTGTCATTGGAGTATTACAAGTGTCACCTGGTCGCCACTTAATATTATGGAAGGGTTACTCGGGACCATTCCATTAGTCTAACAACCCGAGCTTTGTTCCTTCAAAGGCAACTTCTGTAGAGTGTTTGAACAGAAGGAATTAGCTCAAACTAAGGAAACAAACCCACGCTGCGTCACGTACAGTGGCTAAAGGCTAATTTTTTTTTTTTTTTTTTTTTTTTTGGTTTTTCGAGACAGGGTTTCTCTGTGGCTTTGGAGGCTGTCCTGGAACTAGCTCTTGTAGATGAGGCTGGTCTCGAACTCACAGAGATCCACCTGCCTCTGCCTCCCGAGTGCTGGGATTAAAGGTATGTGCCACCAACGCCCGGTTTAAAGCAAATTATTAAAGTGTCCTCTAAAAACTCAAGAGAGGTGCAATCTACTAGTGAGCGGATCTGATAAGAAACATTGGGTCCGCAGGAATAAAAAACAGGATAGGAAATCACATTAGGGGCTCGGGAATTACACCCATGACATTCCACATTTCTCTTGTGTGTGTGTTTATTTTAGACAAAGTCAATTCTGTAGTCCCAGCTATTCTAAAACTCACTCTGTACGGCAGGCTGTCAACTCACGGCGATCTTTCGGCTTCCTGCTGTGATAGGCATGAGGCACCAAGCCCGGTATATTCACTTTCCAATCCTTTGGCCTACACAGTACTCCCAGACCGACAAAACGGGTGCACTAGCTTTAGAACCTCCAACTCCCGCCAAGCTTTTTGCAAGTGTAGGCACCTAAGCGGAAGTGACGTTGGGATGACCTGAAAGTGGGAGAGTTAAAATACCAGCACTATAAAACCCTGTGATGTCCTGAGAAAACTCCCCATCCTTCTTTTATATTTTCTCTCCTCCTTCAATGAGGCTAGAAGACCGGACTACAACTTTGCGACCTCATTCATAAGTCCAAATTATTCAAAAGGTTTCCCTACCCATTTGGAGAAGAGGGGCACACCGTAACCTTTCAAGAACTACAATTCCCATGAGACGCAACAGGAAGCAAGTGGAGAAAATTGTTATGGGGGTTCGCAAAGCATCTTGGGAACTGTAGTTCCATAAGTCAAAGTGCTCAGTAGTCCTGCTCTCCACCACTAAGACTGGAGAAACCAGGTGTTCCGCTTGCAATCCTTTACCGCTAAGGGGAGGAGCCTCATGTTTAAAGCCTTCCCACATCTCCTACATGAAGGACAAAAATTCTCATTTCATCCTTAGAACCTCTACAAATATTCTCTGAAGAAATATAGTTGTTTCCATATCCCCAGTGATTAAAATCTCCCGGAACTCGACTACCTCAGGGTCCTACTCGTGGGAAAAGGTGGTTCTTTCACAAGTGGGCAAAATGGCTGTCCTCCTAGCTTCGTCATTGGTTGACTCTTGCGTCCTTCAAGGACGATCGCTTGCCAGGGATTGGTTCTTTGTCTTCTAGGGGTGGAGATAGATTTAGCGCAGTTCTAACGCGGCCCCGCAGCGACAGTGGGGTGGAGCTAAAGTGGTTTTTAAACGTTGATTGGATAGACTTTATGTCACTCAATGTTCATCTAGCGTATGAGGGAGCCGGCTACCCGTCAACGCGAACGGAGGGGGGGGCCCACTGCCGGG